AAAAAAAAAAAAAAAAAAAAAAAAAAAAAAAAAAAAAAAAAAAAAGGATAACGGCTCCCCAAACAAAACACGCAAAGGTAAAGAAAAAAGAATGTTCGGTGGTATTCCCTGCTATTTTCTTGCACGCGATGCTGCAAAGGTAACTGCGAGGATCAGTGTCCTCGGTAGGCCTACTGGGCCCTGTCTGCAGCCTTACCCGCCCTAAGTGAAGGCGGGCCTGGCTTTTTGCAAGAGGCCCTCGACTGTCAATTTCATATTTGGGGTCCAGGCAGTTGCGACGCGCCAGTTGGTTGAAAGAAACACAGGCCGAGTACCGAAGACATTTCCACGGCCTACCAGGCCTTTCCAAAGAATGCAGGCCCTGGGCGTGATTCGGAGCCTCATACAGAGACAGTTGGGCGCCCAACCGAACGAGGCCCAGCAGCCCAGTAGCTGCTGCATCCAGACAGCATCCTGGGGCCTTCCGGAAGCTGCTGAGCCCAGGCCAGCCCAGCCAGGCTGCGAGAGCTGGCCAGCTCTTTTCCATAAAGGAAAGAGCTCTGGCCATGCAGCCTCATTCAGGCACTCGCATGCTGGCGGCAGCGCTGCTAGAGCAGATGCTCGTGGGCTGCTGCTAGCACTGGGAGGCGAGGTGCAGCACGTGCGGTCGTGCAGAGGAGGAGGGCGCTGCTAAGGGCAGCGCCATAGCCCAGCCACCACAGCTGGTGGGCTTGGACTACAGTGAAGCGCAGGGGTGGTCTTCGGGTGTCAGAGAGGACAGGTGTGGGTGAAGTCAGGGGTGAAGGATGATGATGATGATGATGATGATGTGAGGGCACGTACCTTGTATTGGCGATGGTCTGCATGGGCGGCATCTTCAAGTACTTGGGGCTGCTGCTGATGTCAACGTGCAAGGCTGCTATCTGGACACGGTGTGACTATTTGACTTGCAATGTGATGGTGTGATCTGGGTTTGTCATCTCGCTCTTGCTTATTTTCCTTGCATAACGGCTCCCCAAACAAAACACACAAAGATAAAGAGAAAAGAATGTTTGGTGGTATTCCCTGCTATTTTCTTGCACGCGGGGTTTCGTCTGCTCTCAGGCTTTTCTTTTTCTTATTGTGAAAGAAGCGGCATATGATAGGGCAGTTCCTTATGCGTTTTCTTTCTTTTGTGCTTTTTTCTTTTTCTGTTTTTGCGGGCGAAGCCGCAACGGGTCATCTAGTGTTTAGTGGAAGGTAATAAGGAATGATATTGAATGAGGGATGGAGGATTGGCTAAAATGTTTGGCACTTAGTCTGTCAATCTTCAATATACTGTTTAGGGGGGGCTTGTCTTTTGTGGGTTTTCCTGATTTACGGATTTCTCTGACTTAGATGTTTTCATCGGCCCTGGCTTGTGATCCAAAGGGGCTTGTTGACGTCGTGGTGGCCTGAGAATCTGTTGTGGTGTTGCGCGGTCTTTGGCTGTGCTGGGGTGAGATTGTTAGCCAATTTTTCATGACCAGTCAGTTTTTTTTTTATTGTGCCTAGATTGCCTCTTCCTAGCTTAGATGTCGTGAATCTTTTGATGATGACGGATTTCTTATTTGGGTTATTGACTTATTATCAATTAGGGTCTTAGTTTTCTTCCATAGGGCGTGTATTTCAGTTTCTATGAGATGTTTAATGGCAATGAGGGGGTTGTCAGCATTGGTGTGGTTGTTCTCAAAGGTTTGTTCGCATCTCCTTTTCGAGATGGCCCATAGTGTCGCCTTTCTTATTTGTGAAAAGAGGAATAGGTCAAAACCTTG